TTGAAATCCAGAAGTTTGATGCCTCCAGCTTGGTTTTCATTTTTCATGGTTACTTTGGCTATTCAGGGTCTTTCCGGGTTCCATACATATTTTTAAATTGTTTCTTCTAGCTCTCTGAAAAATGCTGGTGTTATTTTGATAGAGATTGCATTGAATGTATAGATTGCTTTGGGTGGTATAGACATTTTCACAATATTAGTTCTTCCAAACCATGAGCATGGGATGCTTTTCCATTTCTTGGTGTCCTTTTCAATTTCTTTCATAAGCTTTCTATGGTTTTCAGTGCACAGCTCTTTTACCCCTTTGATTTGGTTTATTGCTATATATCTTATGTTTTTTGGTTCAGTTGTAAATGGGATATAGATTCCATTTCTCTTTCTGTTGCTTTATTATTGGCATATAGGAATGCATAGATTTCTGTACATTCATTTAATATCCTGTGACTTTGCAGAATTCCTGTATCAGTTCTAGAAAATTTTTCATGGAGTCTCTTGTGTTTTCCAGGTTGAATATCATGTCATTCACAAATAGTGAAAGTTTGACATTGTCCTTGCCAATTTGTGTGTCCTTCACTTCTTTTTGTTGTCTGATTGCTGAGGCTAAGACTTCCAGTACTATGTTAAATAGTAATGGTGAGAATGGACATTTCAGTCTTGTTTGTGACCATAGGAGGAGGCTCTCATTTTTTCCCCATCATTGAGGATGATAGTAGCTGTGGGATTTTAGAAAATAGTCTTTATGATGTTGAGGTATATTCCATCTATCCCTACTTTATTGAGGGTTTTAAGAAAACTGGAGGCAACATGTAGAAGAGTGAAACTGGACCACTTTCTTACCCCATACAGAAAAATAGGTTTGAACTGGATGCAAGACCAAATGTGAGACAGGAAGCCATCAGAATCCGAGAGCAGAACACAGGCAGCAACCTCTCTGACCATGGCCAGAACAATATCTTACTAGACACTTCACCAAATGCAAGGGAAACAAAAGCAAACACGAACTACTGGGACTTCATTGAGATAAAAAGCTTCTGCACAGAGAAAGAAACAATCAACAAACCTAAAAGGAAGTCCATGGAATGAGAGAAGATATTTGCAATCAACATATCTGATAAACGGTTAATATCCAAAATCTACAAAGAACTTATCAAACTCAATGCCAAAAACTCAAATAATCTAGTGAAGAGATGGGCTGAAGACATGAACTGACACTTTTTCCAAAATTAACTTAAGAAAAAGAAAATTTAAAAACTGGTGTTAATAATGTCCAGTTTAAACAATCTTTTCATATCCTAAGACTATTGTGAAGATAATTTATTTTGTATCCACATTTAAAAGTTTCATTGTTATACCTTTCCCATTCAGGTTTAGATACCCAGAAACTGATTTTGCTGCTGTTGTGGTTTAGGGAGGCAGGTTTTCTTTTGCCTCTATGGATATGCAATTTTTCTAGCATGAGTGTCTGAAAAGTCTATTGTTTTTGAACCTCTCTGCGAAGCCATATTTATCACAAAAGCCAGTGCCTATGTGTGCGTGGGTCTTTGGGGCTCTCTTCTCTGTTGGTTTGTTTGTCACTTGAGCCAGTTTCACACTGTAGCTGTATGAAGAGTCTTGATACTTGGTAAAACAAATCATGTTATGATATTCTTCAAGAAAGTCTTGGCTATCTGTAAATCCTTATAAATTTTAAATCCCCTTACAGTTTTGCACACAATTAAAGGACACTATTAGGATTCTCACTGGGATTTCTTTGAAACATAGGTTAACGTGGGGAGAATGGACCTCTGTACCGCACTGCATCTTCTAATCCGTGACATAGAGTACCTCGTCATTACACAGTTCTTTTAGTTTAATAAAACTTTCCAGTTTTCCATGAGAGGGCTTGCATGTCTTTGCTTAAATTTATTCCTAGGGCTTTGATATTTTCCAAGATTCAAAATGTGGTATATTTCTAGAAAACCAGATTTCAACTGTTGCTAATTTATGGGGGTGCAGCTTATTTGCTTCTGTACCACGTCCTTAGCCTTATATTGAAGGTTAATTCTAATGCTTTATCTGCTGATTACTTTTGGATTTTCTAACCTAGAAAACCTTATAATTCATGAGAAATGACTGTTTTCCTTCTTGTATAATCCTTCTGTCTTTTGCTTCGTTTTCACTGAACTGACTGTCTGGAATAAGATGGGAAAGACACAGTGGGAGAATCCTTCTTGTCTTATTCCTTAGTGAGCATGGATGCATTTAAATGTTTCACAGCTAAGTGAGAAGTTTGATTGTCTAATCCCAATGCTGTACTCCCTAAACCAACATAACATAGTGAATATAGTGTGTAAACTGTACTCGGAGACGACAAAGAGTTTGATAGCCTGATTAGTTTATGGGAATTCATTCTTTGTTTTAATTATTTATTTTGAGAATGAAAGATAGAGAAGTGGAGGGGCACCGAGAGAGAGGAAGAGAGAGACTCCCATGAAGGGTCTGCCCTGTCAATGCAAATCCTGACATGGGGCTCTAACCTTCGAACTTTGAGACCGTGGCCTGCGTTGAAATCAAGAGCTGGACACTTAAATGACTGAGTCACCCAAGTGCCACAGGAATTTCCTTTTGATTCGTACTATGCTAAAAGATTTTATTCATTCCCTCAATGGATATTAAATTTTATCCCATAATTTTCTTCATTGATTAAAATAATTACATGATTAATATCCTTTATTTTGATAACATAATTAATTCTACAGATCTATTTCAAATGTGCCAACCTTGCATTTCTGGATTGAAACCAACTTGACGTTTATTTACAAGTTCTGCATCTATATTCCTGAGTTTGGTTTCAAATCCAGTTTCACATGATACTGGCCCAAAAACTGAGTTGGGGGTGTTAACTCTTCTATGCCAGGGAAGGGTTGGGTCACATTTGGCCTAACATCCACTTAAAAATTCTGGCACAATCTCCTGGTGAAGCTTAAAAGCTCCAGAGGTTCATTTGTTTATCTGTTGTTAATGTAGAATATATGAATTAAAACTCTATTCCTTGAGAATTAGACAGCACGGTTCCCCAGGTCAACTTTAATGTGTTCTCTAGGCATTTTCCCACTTTGTGTAAGTTCTCAAATCCATGATCTTAAAATAAGTCAAAGGATTCTCTTATCTTTCATGTGGCTGTGACTCGAGAAATGCCCCAATTGCATTCCCATAATTCCTTAGTTACATTTCCTGCCTTAATTTCTTCATCAGTCTCACCAGGGAACAATATGATTTATTGTTATTTTTAACATTCCACATTTTGACTTTTTGAGCCACTTGTTTTATACTGTCATTTAATTAATTTCTGCTACTACCTATTAATTTCATCCTTTACAATCTTTCTGTGTTCATTTATTATTCCTTTCCCAAATTCTTGAGAGGAATGCTTAGATTGTTGATCCTCAGCCGTGAACTTCTCTAACAAGCATTTTGGAGGCCATGTATTTCCCTGTAAACACGGAAAACCTACATCCCACCAGCTTTGCCCTGTAGTGTTTTCATTTTCTCCAATTCAAACCATTGTTCTAGGATTGCCAAGATTGTAATTCGATTCATGATTTATTTAGAAAGTGGGTTTCTTTTACACATGTAGGTATTTCCAGCCCCCTTCAGTTACTTATTTCTATCTCAATAATGAATATTAAGTAAGCAACTGGCAATGCCTCCATAGTCACCATATCAGGTAGATGCAAGTTAACTGGTCCAAATTCGAGTTCAGGAACTGGAGTCTACACTTCATCATTTTTCTATGCCCACCATGATTGGGTAAATTGTTGGCATCTATTTGCAAGACTTTATGGGTTCCCTAGATTGGATAGTCAGTTCTCAGGGGTGGAACCAAAGTAGAAGAAACATTGTCATGGAGGCAGTGAGGACAGATTTAGAGGGGACATATTCTGACTACCCAAAATGGTCTGAGAAGAAAATAAAGTCATAGCAAGAGGAAGCCATAATCAGTGTGTGTTCATAATATTTTTCATCAATTATTTCATTTATCATTATAACTTCCTGTAAAGAATAGGGAACAGATATTGTCCCCACATTTGTCATATTCTTGATGCACAAGAAACTCCAACACAAAGGTTATGTCCAACATGAAAAAGCACAAATTGGGTTAACAACAAAACTGAGGAAAGATCAGAAAATTCCTGAGATTTGATGCTGTGTTTATCTGGTTTCCTTCACTGCACATCACATGTCTGCCAGAATTGTTCCACAACATCTTTCATTGTCAAATCATTCAATATCATGACATGTGGTTTTTAAAAACATTTGCTTTGTATATCTTCCTTTTAAAGAAAATAAGGGTTATCTTCAGCCCTCACCCAGGGACTCTGCCTGTCATAGCACGTGCACAATGTACTGCCCTGTTTGCTTGTTGGATCAATGTTCCAAGATAACCTCTATATATAGAGTGAGACTCTGACCATCACAGAAGGCCCCAGTCATGAGCAGTGTTTTTAAAAACCTTCAGTAATCAGTATGGCATAGGACTTACCAAATACACACATCAATCCAGATATGCACAATAGACCGTTGATGGTTTTCTACATAGTGTGTCACCTATGAGAAGTGGTTTACCTGCTGGGAGGCACAGCCCAATGTTTCATGACGTTGCTTATAAAAACTCCTCAACCTTTGTATCTCTTGATATCGCTTCATGCTGTGGTCACAGGGGTTGTTTTTCCCTTTCCAAATCTTGTGTTTTCCATTCCATCATGGTGCTGGATTCTCAGAGTCTGACAGGCAGAAGCATCGTGTCTTCAGAAACAGCCAGTTGTAGTAGCAGTAGAAGTAGTTGAACAACATCTTTACCACACTAGGTAACTGTTTTGATGGTTTAGCTTCCAAACTCAGTCTCTGGATTCTTACATGGCAACCTCTGGAATAAGGCCAATGGCAAAGGCTTCTCCTGATGTTGTATAATAAGTGACTACTGCCTACAAGGATAGAAAATCATGCAGCAATAATACAGGATTAAGGATTGAGAAAACTCTTTGCAAGCAGCTTTCTGAATGCATTCTTCATGTCCCTATTCCTGAGACTAAAAATGAGGGGGCTGAGGAATGGAGTAATGATAGTGTAAGGGACAGCAATGAATGTGTCATCTCCTCCCGAGGCTTCTGGCTTCAGATAGTCAATAGCTGCAAAACCAAAGTGGACGATGACCACAGTGAGATGAGAGGCGCAGGTAGAAAAGGCCTTCTGCTTGCCCTCGGCTGAAGGGATCCTGAAGACAGTGGAAAGAATGAATACATAAGTGATGATGATGAGCAAGAAGGTGCCTGTCAACCCTGACACTGACATCAGTGTAACAATGATTTCTGTGAGGTCACTGTTGAGACAGGATAACCGCACCACCAACTGCATCTGGCAGAAGAAGTGATGGATGAGGTTGGGGTTGCAGAAAGAGCCCTTGAATATCAGTGCAGTCTCTGTCACAGAAATAAGGAAGCCTCCAGCCCAGGCAGAGACCACCAGTTGCCCACACACCGCATTGGTCATCAGCAGTGGATATCTGAGAGGGTTGCAGATGGCCAGAAAGCGATCATATCCCATCAAAGTGAGGATGATACAGTTAGTGCCACCAAGTCCCAAGAAGAAACACATCTGCAAGCCACATCCCGTGACCGAAATGTTTCTGTTCCCAGTCAACAGATCTGCCAGCATCTTGGGGATGATGGTCAGTGTGTAGCAGGTCTCAGAGAAAGAGAGGGCGCGGAGGAAGAGGTACATAGGGGTGTGGAGAGATCTGTCCACCCAAGTGAGTCCCAGGATGGCCAGGTTACCTGCGAGGGTGAGAAGGTAGAGGGCAAAGAAGGCCACAAAGAGGAATCTCTGCACATGTGGGTACAAGGAGAAACCAACAAGAATGAACTCTTCAAGGATTGTCTGGTTGACCTTCATGTTGCATGGGTGAAATCTGGAAGAAACAACAAATAAATAGTCAATTCTCCATTATTTTTTGAAAACAGGGGTGTGAATAACACAGGTGATCAGAGTAACAGTTACCAACTTATTATTCATTTACTGTGGCAAAACATCATGCGTGTGTAGGTTGTTTCCCCTTTCTTCTCCCCCATGGTCCTCTGTTAAGTTCCTCCTAACCCTCCTATACGTGCAAAAATATGGTATTTGTCCTTCTCTGCCTGACTTATTTCACTCAGCATAACACCCTTATGGTCCACCCATGTTGCTACACACGTCCAGATTTCATTCTTTCTCATTGACATGTAATATTCCATTGTATAAATATACCACATCTTCTTGATCCATTCATCAGTTGATGAACACTCAGGATTTTTCCATGTCTCGGCTATTGTTGAGAGTGCTGCTATGAACATTGGGGTCCATGTACCCCTATGCATCAGCACTCCTATATCCCTTGGGTAAGTTCCCAGCAGTGCTATTGCTGGGTCATAGGGGAGTTCTATTGTTAATTTTTTGAGGAATCTCCACACTGTTTTCCAGAGGGGCTGCACCAATTTACATTCCCACCAACAGTGTAGTAGGGTGCCCATTTCTCCACATCCTCGCCAGCATCTAGAGTTCTCTGATTTACTCATTTTAGCCACTGGGACCCGGGTGAGGTAGTATCTCAGTGTGGTTTTCATTTGTATTTCCCTGATGAGGAGGGATGCTGAACATCGTTTCATGTGTCTGTTGGCCATCTGGATGTCCTCTTTGGAGAAGTGTCTGTTCATGTCTTCTGCCCATTTCTTCACTGGATTGTTTGTTTTTCAGGTGTGGAGTTTGATGAGTTCTTTATAGAGTTTGGATATTGGCCCTTTATCTGATAGGTCATTTGCAACTATCTTTTCCCATTCCATTGGTGGCTTATTAGTTTTGTGGATTGTTTCCTTTGCCGTGCAGAAGCTTTTAATCTTGATGAGGTCTCAATAGTTCACTTTTTCTCTTGATTCCCTTGGCTTTGAGAATGTGTCAGGTAAGAAATTGTTGTGGTTGAGGTCAAGGATGTTGTTTCCTGCTTTCTCCTCTAGGGTTTTGATGGTTTCCTGTCTCACGTCCTTTGTCCATTTAGAGTTTATTTTTGTGTATGGTGTGAGAAAATGATCTAGTTTCCTTCTTCTGCATGTTGCTGTCCAATTCTCCCAACACCATCTGTTAAAAAGGCTGTCTTTTTTTCATTGGATACTCTTTACCAATTGTTTAACTATGTTAAACAACAGTGGTGAGAGTGGACATCAAAAATCTCCAAACAAATAACAGCCCTGGGCCAGACAGCTTCCCTGGGGAATTCTACCAGACATTTAAAACAGAATTAATACCAATTCTTCTCAAGCTATTCAAAAAAATAGAAATTGAAGGAAAACTTCCAGACTCATTTTATGAAGCCAGTATCACTTTGATTCCCAAGCCAGACAAAGACCCAGCAAAAATAGAGAACTACAGGCCAATATCCTTAATGAATACAGATGCAAAAATCCTCAACAAGATACTTGCAAATCGAATCCGACAGCACATAAAAAGAATTATCCACCAAGATCAAGTGGGACTCATTCCTGGGTTACAGGGCTGGTTCAATATTTACAAATCAATCAATGTGATACATCACATCAACAAAAGAAAAGATAAAAATCATATGATCCTGTCAATAGATGCAGAAAAAACATTTGACAAAATATAGCATCCCTTCTTAATAAAATATCTAGTAACAAGAATTGAAAGGGCCTACATTTTGTCAAATTAATTCTAATACTTATTGGTTTGATTCTTGACAACATAGATGAGAAGTTGTGGAATGTGTATGACACCTGAGATTATTTTCCTCATTTTTGAAATAAGAGAGCTGTTTCTCTTACATGGTGTATTTTTAACTAGAATACAGCTGTCTTGATTTAATTGTACATTTTTTGCATTTATCTTCCTTTTTCCTTCCATAGTCTATTGTCATAGAGCTCTATTTCACAGTGTTAATATGGAGCATTTTAAGAAGATGATGATTCCTAATCCATGTGCATGGATAGGTTAGTGATTGCAAAGAGCCTGAATCTATAAACGGTTTCTGTTTTACTTGAGTATTCAGCATTGGGGAGAATGCTGAACATAGAGATAAACAGTGTTTCCAGTCTTAAGTAGATTTGGTTGAGGCTAAGATTAAGCATCTGTCAGCAGAGTCAAACTGGTCACTGACAGTCAGAAGAAACAGTAGGAAAATGGGCTGAATCATTATTATTTTGAAAATGCTCTGGATTATAATTAGATAATTTTCATATATAAACATATGTATAAATCTAAATAAAATAATGATATAATTATAACATTTATAATGAAAGTTTGCAGCCCTGTGGACCCTACCTTAGCCATCTCTTGCATTCTGTGGTCCTCTTTGACCTGACCTGACATGACTTCCACTCTCCCTCAGCCTCTCCTGACATGTGACTCATCTTTCCCTCCACCCTTTCTCCTTTCCTGTTTCATGCTTTCCCTCCATGTATCCACACCACACCTTTGATAAGTGAGTAATTATATCCCCAAAAGAAGTCCGGACATTACTTTGCCTTCCTGCCTAAGGCTGTATTCTGAGAGGCTGTGTCTAAATGATCCTCGGGCTTCCTTCTGAGGCCTTTTATGCAAACCTCCTTAGGATCCAAACTGAGTGTGAAACTCCTAGGGATCCCCACCCACACTCGCAGATTGTTGGTCCACTTTGCCCTGATGGGGCCTCGTGAAAACTCTGGATTGTCTCAGAAAACTGTCTCCCCTCTCAGAACTACAAGGTGCCATATGCCCTTCCATTATCACTAAGCCATCGGGAAGATTTCCTGCTCAGTAGAACACTGTACTCACACAAGTTTCCAAATTCTCTCGACTCTCCCCAGGAACTCTGTAAGTAGACCTATTAGATGGATTGTAGAACTAAAAGATGAACTAAGTACCCAAAGTGGGTGAGAGGGAGAGTATATTTGCAAATCTAGTAGTTTTCCATACCTGGGATCCATGGTGCAGAATCCGAGGTCTTCCTAACAGATGAATTGCAGGGCAGCCTGATTCCACATGTTATGCCACATCCCCTTCTAAGCAGCCAGACTGGTTGTGTTCCCATCTATCTTTCAATTCAGAAGCATTTTGAAAATGCAAAGAATCAGCAATATATATTCCTAGAGAGCTCCTTCCTTACCTAATTCCTACCTCACTTGTGTGGTAAACGTCTACTTGGTGAATCGTTAGAAGTAGAGTATGAATTTCAAAATCTCCCACTACTTCTGGCATATTCTGAATGTGTGTGTGTGTAGGAGTGTGAGAGTATTATACCCCACTCTTCCCTCAACTATGTCTGAAATTGTCCCCAAATCAACTTGTATCAAATTTAATTTGCACTATGGATCCACTGATAGATAATACACACCCTTTCCAGAGTCACAGAGAAAGGGTAATTTGAAGAAAGCGCAAGGACAATTAATTATGAAGAAAACAGAAATCCAATCACTTACAAGGGTTTCCTACCTTGTGTGTTTTACCAGAGCCCCAAAGCCAGTTCAGTGTTAGGGTTATATTCTTCTATGATGGTCTTCACACTGAGGGAAGCATGCTTTGTTCTTCACTCAGAAGACACAGAGATCCACTTAGTATCAATGTCATTGGTCTAAGAGCCTGTGTTTTTAACTTTATCACTTTTAGTTTACTGACCTTAGCAAAGTCCTTTTACTTTCTGGATCTAAATTTTCCAGCTGGTAAGCGAGGAAAAGGACCCTGGTTTGGTGCAAACTTCAGCTTTCTGGGACCCTAGCATTTCCCACATGAGCTGTGAGCCTGGGCCACACAGGCCATGGTCTGATTCTATCCCTCACTGAACCACAGTGGCTAAGAACCTTTTCCTCCACCAGTTTGGAGGTATTGTATGATCACCATTAGGGCTTGTGGTTCCTCAGCTCTAGCGGTTTGGCTCTGGTTAGGAGGCCCTAAGGGATTCGTCTCTTCTTTCATCACGAGGAGCAAGAGAACTTTCTCCGTCACCTTAGTAATTTTCTCTCATTAGTTCCAGGGCTGTTTTGTAACATGTGACCAGGAAAACTCTGTGTGGAACCTCTGGGGATTTAAAACTTGCAGATCTCATATCCAGTCCTTGCTAATTCCTAAGTTTTGTTTGGCAGGGAGGGGAGTGAGTTGCATCGCTAATGTTTTCTCTCTCCCCTTACAGTCTGACACTTTCATCGCCAGCTCCCTCCATCCCCCAGGTGTTTAGGAAGGGCTCTAGGTTTGAAGACCGTACTCTGAGGGAATTCAGAAAAGTATAATGAGTGGTCTCTTCCTACAAGGAAATTGTACCTGGTGGAGGAAAGAAGATGGAGCCAATTTGATTCCACTACCCAACTTTTAAAATGTGTTAAAAAAATTGTCCATCTTAGTATTGGTATGAATTTGAAGTAGTAGAACTCATAGATTATTTTTGTGAATGTAAAAATTATAAAATGCTTTAAAATTTAGTCAAGTGTTTTGTTAACTCCTTAGCATCCTTAATCCATTCAAGTTAAGGGAAGGTGGACTATATACACATTTCTCTGCACCTACCCTCTAAATACAACTAAAAAGCATGGAAATATCTCAACAATCCTAAAATGACTCTGGGAGAGGAATCATGGAAGATGGATTGGCCCAGGACCTCAGCTTGAAGAAAACCACCTCTGAGGGTTTCCAAGGGTCTCTTTTCATCCTCCATGTAGTCCGTCTGGGGTGTGGAGAGCCCTGCAGCCTGCAATGGGCTAATGTCCACAGGCAAAGGCAATCAAAAAAAATAAAAACACGGTCTGTTCTCTCTGGCAATGGACCAAGAAAGGAGAGACCAAGCAGGGAC